ATAGAGCCTCGAAGATCTGATTATCCTTTACTTTCTCAAAACTTGACGGATCCGAGGATTAGTCAAACCATCGGTCAACGATCAAGTAATTGGAATACAGGTACATTTCTTAATCAAAATCCGCAGCTAAGTATTTCTCAAATTGATCCACAACAATTCCATCCATCACCCAAGCCTCAAATGGTTCGATCAAATGGCTGGGAACCTGCACTTACCTCCAACAACAACAACAAAACAAATCCGTCGCCTGATTCGAATCCACGATTCAGGTAAACCTTGTACCTTTATGTGCTCATCAAATGTAACTTATAAACTATCTTTAAGATCTTGATCTATTTTCACAAATTTTTCATTTATAATTGTAGCATCATATATTTTCGACAAATTGGGATTAGAGACGATATTCTTTGTTTAAACAACTCGTTTTTATACATGTTCGTGTGAAATATGATTATTTTTAGAATATATTGTATCAAGATCAGCATATAGAAATTGATTAAAACGTGAATTGAATTTCTAAAGCAGTTTGTAGTATTCACTAACTGAATACCTTAAAGTTTTAATTAATAAATATTTTCGTCGAGAATCCCAAGATAAAAAAAGAAACCTATAAAATAATTGCATCTTAGTTTCATCTACATTCCTAGGAATAACATGCACATATTATCTATAGTTTCTATGTATTTTTTTTAGTTTTTCCAAGTTATGTGCAAAATTAACATCCACAAAAATGTTGTTCTTTATGGTGGGATTCATTTTATGTGCTGTTCCATTAGCGGTTATGACAACGCTATGGTAAGATAGATATTAACATGTTTCTTAGATCCATTTTCATTTGTCTTTATTTCATAGGTTGAATGCACGTTCATCATCGACAGCTACAACAACCGTAGCAAGTGTTACAGGTAATAGTATCATTCTTGCTTCGTAGATTTGTTTTCTTTGATTGAATTACAAACATAATTCGAGATTGTTCTTGAACTAAGATATTAGTGTACACGATAAAATAACTGATCTAACAATTTCTTTAATATCCTGTTAAGTTTATTTTACATCTTTTCAGTTTCAAATACATCAGTTAGTTTACCAATACAATGTTACGCTTATTCAACTCTGAACGATTACAGTCGAAATTATCAAAATGGTTATAGTTGTTGTTATACACCTTATGATATTATGTCATACATGTCGGCTGGTTGGTTTCGAATTACAGGATCAGCTGGTACACAGCTCGTCACAACCGCTATTTCTACTATGAATACATGTGGTTCAAGTTATCCTGGCTATTTTAATGGTACATTACCAACCACAGCTGGTTCAATGACAACAGGAAATGTTTGCTTTTATACAGGTGCTTCATGCGGCTATTCACTATCACCAATTAGTGTTATCAACTGTAATGGTTATTATGTATTTTATTTGATACCTACAAGTAGTACATCTTACAGATATTGCACAACAAACTAAACACATTCGTTACAATAGCAAAAAAAACTTATTTAATTTTCATGTGTTTTGAACTCATTTATACTTTGCTTTTTGTGAAACTCATATATTTTATTTTATTCAGCAAAATAGAGCGTGTGGATTTTAAGACAAATTTTTCCTGTTCGCATCTTGAGGGTGTGGGTGTGGATATTATATCATACTACACTCGTACTTACACTGGTATACGTGACGGCCAAAAATCCCGGGCTAGTCATGTGGTAGTCGAATTTTAGAGAAAAAACGAGTCATATAACCCGTCTTCTGCTTACGTGAATACAATTAACAAATATTTTTCATATCACTGTGACACAGGGGAAAAAGTTGCTGAATAATGTGAATTTTCTCTTCTAATTTTCAGACAACATTATAATGTATTTACTTGATAGTTTCTCAGATTGATCAATTCTGTTTCATCGAATTAGCAAAGACTTGTTGTATCTATTGTTGGTTTTTAGTCGAAAATTAGTAGATCAATGGTTTATTGAAAATTCATGTATCAACATTTTACCTTTGAATTTATTAAGAAAAACATTTTAATCAACAGATTTTCTCATGTTTTAAAACTCGATTATTTCCCCAATCAACAACATAAAGATTCTCTTCTTCATCAAATGAGGGTGTGGGTGTGGTTACGATATAAATATGATACCTACGCCGACTCATCCAGTCCACCCTGAGTCACTCGCTACATCTTTTTATTTCTTTTGATATTTCTTTATTATTTAAATAAGTTACAAGAGCAGAAAACAAGAAGCATGTCATCATTATAGTTTTATGTGTGCAAATTTGTACTAAGACGAAGTACATGTATTACCACATGCATTGAGAAGAATAGATTGCTTTCAATTCACATTAATATTCAAACTTGAGAACGACGTTTTGTGATTACTTGTTTAAGAAAAGTACGTACTGGTTGATTAGTAGATATCAACATTATTACACCATCAAGTACAGATGTTGGGAGTAATATTTGGAAAAAAACGTTCAAACCATATGGAATAGAAGCAGTTTTGTTGAATAACTGTATTACAAAGAAAGGAGTCCATCCTACTAGAAATGTAATAAAACTAGTAATTGTTATTTTGATTAAAAGTGTATCACGTTTATGAGATACTTGACCAATAATAACTGTAGCATGCACTCGACGAGTAGAATTACGTACAAACAAAAGAGTACGAGTATCACATATGGTAACGATTGTAACTGGTAAGAAAATAAGAACAATGATGGTATAATATGGCAAAAAAGTTGTATCCATTGAATTTAAACATAAAGAGCCGTTCAAAAATAAGTAAGGCGAAGTAACAATAAAAGCCATAACCCATCCAATAATTATATGACTCCACAAACACATAGTAGAATGGAAGATATGTTTGTGTGCGTAAACGATAGTGAGAAATCTACTAATAGCAATCGCACAATATGAATATGTTAACTGACACGCAGCCATAGCTACCAAAAAATTTTCAATACGACAAGATATGTAATTGGATATGTTGAGTAGTTTTAGGATATTTATCACCAATACAGTAATACCGAACCATGCACTTGTGAGACAAACGTTGACTGTGAACCAGTTAAGCTTATTTTTACGAAATACTGGTCGAATGACTATGAGAATCGAATAAGCAATAGCAAGAATAATAGTAAGCGAAAATATCGATAACACGACAATGTCAGTTGTAAAACTATCTCCGAAAGAATCATTACTAGAAGATATATTACGATTGAAATTGATATTATCGCTCATGTTATTTGTTGTTAACATACTACCGTTATTCATCATTGATCACACGAATTGTTAGCAGTTTGTTGATTAAATTACACTCTTGGTGAATATCTAAGAGGAACAACAATAATAAATTATTTTCTAGTATATATAAGAAAAAATTTCTTAGTTACTAACACTACAATCTCATAATATAATGATAAATATGAAATATAATTAACTTGATATCTTTCAATACAAAACAAAATATATAGATGCTTCTACACCTACATTTTTTCTCTGTTTCTATACTTTACTAAAGATGCTTCATAATTTTAATTAAACTTTTTTTTCCATTCATCATAAGTATATCAACACAAAAATTAACATAAAAAAAAGAACTCTTATAAATAGTTTTTAAAACCATTTCCTTAGACATAATTACAAATAAATCTTCACTGAGGTATTTGTGCTGACTTTTCTAATACTTTGCGTACTGCACGTTCACTTCGTACATTATCGTTCATCATAATCTTTTTTTAGACTCATAATTTGATTAATAGAGAGCAAATTAGATCACGTGTAAATATGTGACATCTTATTCTTGGTTTTAGAATAGAACAACAAGAATAATAAGAGATGCTCTAAATGTCAATGTGTTCTATTCTCATCACTTTACAATGATTTCGAATGATAGCAAAAAATATTTTATCTAATTAATAAAAACGAGCGCATTTCGCGACGGACAATTCGTTGCACATGTAATTAATTGTAACAAGATTGATATGTATGTAAGACAAATTTTTATTGATAGAATACCAATTCATGAGAAATGTTTTTGATGTTCGACAGTATAAAGATAACCTTTATAGCCAAGCATCGGTTTTCTTCTTTTCGCTTGGGAGTATTTTAATTTTGCGTATTAATTTTCAGTAGATAATTGTATGAACAAGATAAGTCAAGTGACACTATTCTATTTTTGGAATCTTTTCTATTAAATTTTTAGATTAGTTGATCTTTCTCAATTTTCTCAAATCCTATTATAAAATTCGATTTGACTTTCAGAGAATAAGAGAGTTATTCAAAAATTAATGTCTATTCATCTTGAGGGTGTGGATGTGGGTGTATGCCAATAAAAAGAATAATCACACCCACACTCACCCATCATTACTAAGAAATACTAATCATATCTAATTAAATAATCAGCTGTCTCTCTCTTGGCTTTTTGTCGAGTAACTGTATTTCTATTGTAAATAACTATTGTATGAAGATAAGAACGTTTGATTTAGAACGAGTAAATATTTACAAACATTTGATAATAGATGAGTTCTAGTTGTAACTAATCTGGTTTCGTTAACAACTTACCTGAACAAGTAAAATAATAGATGTAATTGTGTTTTCTTCTTTTTGTGTTTCTCATCTTTCTTCTAAAACTCTTGAGACTACTCATACAAGTATTCAATCGAGTTCTATGTTCTTATTCAGGAACAGTCATATATATGTCACACATCAGTTATTTAACAAATGCTTATCAAACAGAAAAGAAAAAATTATCATGTTTATGTAAAAATCATGAACAATTAATAGAAAATTATATTAAAAAAACATTTATTAACACATACAAATAAATTTTTATTTTATAGAATATTGTCAATCAATATTGATGTATTATCGTCTTTGGTTATTTAGAAAAATACAAATGATGAACTATCTGTATGAATTTAGTATATCATGTTTTGTTATTTATGATATTCTGCATTGAACAATAAGACTCTTCAAACATACCGAGAAAAAAGAAACAATAATGATTTTTTTTCATTTTAAACAGGAAAATAATTAAAACACATTTTTGAATATTATCAAAAGGCAACTGTAATAAATGTGAACAAAGGGAAAGGGTGAGAGATTGGTATATCATCGGCATCCATACCCTCACACCCACATGCATCCGAAAAACTAAATCACTGAAAGAATTCTATTTCTCTTTCTGTACTTTTTTGATGGCATATGTGGAGAATGGCAGTAGTGATGTAGGCAGAGGCAAAATAAAATTCAAAAGAAGTAGAATAAAATGAATTCAGTTGTTGGCTTCTGTTTTTTTGTTCGCTTTTTCGATTACGTTACCAACAAATTTGTTTGTTTCTTGTTCTGCATAATATTATTGTCAAAAGTAACTACGTAACGTTTATCCTTGAGTGACAACAAAAAAATCGAAAAAAAGCAAGTCATTGCTTATATAAAGAAAAACATCTACTGACAAATTCACATTCAAAAAGAAATTACAACAGCATCAAAATGAGCAAATCAAAACCAAATCAAAATGTTGTCACAGCATCCAATATTCTTCAACCACGACAACGTATGACACAAAATTATCTTCTCATCTGGGTAGATGCCAGCATCGATGCGAAAAATAAGAACTGTCAGGACATATTGAATCAACTGAAAAACGTGATCAACAACGTCAATTTATGTACTCAACCGGATCAGTGCATACAGTTACTAAATCAGATTGATAATGAACGAGCCTTTGTTATAATCTCAAGCGCTATCGGTCAACATTTAGTTCCAGAAATTCATGATATGCCACAGTTAGATACAATTTACATTATCTGTGACAATCAATCCAAACATTATGAATGGACTAAAAACTGGACAAAAATCAAAGATGTCTATACAAACATTAAGAAAATCTGTCAAGAATTGCAATTGGCTGTTAAGCAATGCGACCAAGATCTCATAGCCGTAAGTTTTGTTACCATGAATGAAATGGCTTCGACTGATAATTTAAATCAGTTGGAGCCAACTTTCATGTATACACAGATATTCAAGGAAATTCTCCTTGATATCGAATATGATCGCAAGGCAATCAAAGACTTGACTATTTTTTGCCGCAAACTTTTTACCGATAATAAAAGCGAATTACAAATTATTAATGAATTCGAACGTGATTATTGTCCGCAAAAAGCAATATGGTGGTATACACGTGAATGTTTTACCTATAAAATGCTCAATCGAGCACTTCGAACATTGGATGCCGATACAATTATCAACATGGGCTTCTTCCTACGTGATTTGCATCAACAAATTCAACAGCTTTATGAACAACAGTTTGGCGCTTATGGGGGAAAGTCTTTTGTAGTTTATCGAGGACAAGGTTTTATGAAATCAGACTTCGAAAAACTTCAAAAAACAAAAGGTGGACTTATGTCATTTAACAATTTTTTATCTACCAGTAAAAAGGAACAAGTGTCTCTCAGTTTTGCTAAAGATGCTGCTGTAAAACCCGATATGGTAGGTATTCTCTTTATAATGTCTATTGATCCTAGTATTAAATCAACACCATTTGCCTCTGTTAACGAACTTGGTTATTACGAGGCAAAAGAAGATGAAATTCTCTTCTCAATGCACACCGTCTTTCGAGTAGGCGAAATTAAACAAATGAACAGTAAGAATCAACTTTATCAAGTTGAATTACAATTAACGTCGGATGATGATGAACAATTACGATTACTTACCAATCGGATACGAGAAGAAGCTAGTGGTAGTACTGGATGGCGAAGATTAGGTAACTTATTACTTAAAATCGGTCAATTCAATAAAGCTGAAGAACTTTACAACGTATTACTCGAACAGACATCTGATGAAGGTGAAAAAGCACTTTATTATAATCAGTTAGGATTTGTTCATTCGAATCAAGGTAATTATGAAAAGGCTATCGGGTATTTCGAACAACAAATAAAAGTTCAGCAAAAAACTCTTCCCTCAAATAATTCTTATTTGGCTATTTCATACGGTAACATCGGTGGTGTTTATGACAAGATTGGAGACTACTCGAAAGCACTTTCATTTTATGAAAAAGCACTTGAACTTCAACAAAAAACTCTTCCTTCAAATCAACTTCATTTGGCTACTTCATACAGTAACATCGGTAGTGTATATTACAGCATGGAAGAATACTCAAAAGCACTTTCATCTCACGAAAAAGCACTTGGAATCTATCAAAAAGCTCTTCCTTCAAATCATCCTGATTTAGCTACTTCATACAACAATATCGGTAGTGTACATGACAAGATGGGAGAGTACGAAACAGCGCTTTCATGTTACGAAAAAGCACATGAAATTCTCCAGAAAACTCTTCCTTCAAATCATCCTCATTTGGCTGCTTCATACAACAACATCGGCAGTGTGTATGATAAGATGGGAGAGTACGAAAAAGCACTTTCATTTTACGGAAAAGCACTTGAAATCTATGAAAATACTCTTTCTTCAAATCATCCACATTTGGCTACTTCATACAACAACATTAGTAATGTGTATTACAATATGAAAAACTATTCAAAAGCACTTTCATATTTAGAACATGCTCTGGACATATTTCAACATACATTACCTCCAACTCATCCTCATATAAAAGCTGTGAAAGAGAGTATTGAAACTGTAAAGAAGAGATTATAAAAAATATTGAAATAAATAAATAAATCTTGTCGGTGTGTGTGAGTGACTGTGATCTATTTGTCTCTAAGCCACGGTCATCCACCTACACCTTCAAGATATTATTTATATCGGACAAATAAATGTATTGAAATATTCTAAGTTGTCGTCCTAATTCATGTTATCTCTTATTCTTTTTAAATCAGAAGCTACGATAAACGTCGTTTTATTCTTTTCAACAATATTTCGTTTATAAATCATCAATATCATTGTGAGGTACTGAACAAACGAGCACAAATTTTTACCAATAATAGACGCTTACTTAAAGATCCTCTATGTATTTCACGGTTGTGAGCAAAGGTGAGAATCTAGTTGTGTACATCCTTGAGTACATGTATATAAATTTTATTTGAATTAAATATTAGAAAAAATACTGATATATTAAAGTAAAACAAGAATATGTGAATGATGAAAAAAAAATATGGTGAAATTGTATCAGTAAATAAGTATTAAAACGTGATTCATTTACGACCACAACGATAACCATCGCCGCCACAACCATAACGACGATCTTCTCGATGACAACTTTTCCCACCAGGAGGATCATGCTTAGGACGACCACAAATTTTAGTGCCAAAAAAAAGATAACGAGGATAGCAAAGAACACATTTAGGCTCATAATCAAAACCACAACATTCTTTAGCAGTACCACAAGGTTTACCATATTTAGCACAATTGAATGCCCCTCCACCGTAACATATTTTCATTGTTACCAATATAAGAAACAGATAAAACATTGCTTTATGGTGGCTCATTTTCTAATTGTTACCTTGAAATAAAATATTATTGAATGTGTACTTCTATATTTGTTTCGTTTCTCTTATTATATAAAGAACAAAAAGCACAATTTTTTTTTTCTTTCTATCGGTAAAACAAACAAAGAAGATATAATAACCAAGCATTAAACTCATGTATAGAAGCAATAGAATTTTCCTTTCTTTTTATTATCTATAGATACCATTGACCTATTCTAATTTTAAATAACTATTGAAAGATGAGAAGGAAAACAACAAAAGATAACTGAAGAAAGTCATGTGCTCCATTCTTATTTAGATTTAAACATTCTAAGTTTAATAAACGATATCTGTCTTAGAAGAAATCATTCATACTTCTTTAATGAAAACTTTTTAAAATAGTCACCGTCAGTTCACATTTCGGCTTACACATCTAGATTTCGAATTAATCATTTTATTAATTTTTCTGCATTTATAAAATCCGAATTAGTTCATCTGTCATTATATCGCATACGAAGTTCAACATCTTTGTATTTTGCCGTCCTCAAATCAACTTAACGTCATTCATGACAGTTTTGTGTAAATTATCGATTATGATGAAGCAAGAGCAGCGTTACAACTATTGATAAGAAGTTGTGTGTAGCAAGAGATGATAAGACACACAAACCATCTTGAGGGTGGGTGTGGGCATGACTAGTATATTCATCACACACTCACACCCTAAGTCTCTCTGATGCCAAAGTTTTTTTTCATTCTATATGACGCATAGACACGTCGGCACTGATGAGTCACAGATAAGCAAAGTTTTATAAATTCTTGTTTTTCTTCTACGATAACATCATTTAACAAAACCGACCACAGAAGTCTGTCGTGTCACATATGAAATTATATGAAATTCATGGCGCACATTTTCATCATGAAAGTCAAACGACTCGTTTTTGTTTATATGCACCTAATGCAAGAAATGTACATCTTATATTAACTACTTACGGTATACAAAAATATCGATTAGAAATGATTAAAAATCATGAGGATTTATGGGAAATTGTAACAGATAAAGCACTACCTGGTCAAACTTACTTCTATCTTATTAATGATTATCATGGAAAACAAAAAAAATCGAATAGATCCGGTTAGTTTTTCCGTAGTTTCTAATCAAATAACTCGTCAAGTTCAATCAGTTGTTCATGATAACAATGTTTATATCTGGAATGATCGAAATTGGATGCAAAAACGTACTAAATGCAATCCATTAAAATTACCTCTATCAATTTATGAAATTCAACCAAAATCATGGAAAAGTAGTGTTTATTGGCCAAGAAATTATCGTGAAATCACGCATGATTTAATTCATTATTGTATTGAAATGGGATTTACACATGTTGAAATGTATGGCATATTAGAACATACAGATCGATGGGAATATGGTTATCAAGTATCAAATTATTTTGCTCCATCTCGTTTTAATGGTCAATGTGATGATTTAAAATATTTAATTGATAATTTACATCAAAATAATATTGGTGTTATACTTGATTGGGTTCCAACACATTTTAAACATTATCATTTTTTTCATCAATATTCAACATCATTACATGAATATGATGGAACTAATTTATATGCTAGTTCACCATCACAATGGTGGACATTATATTTTGATTTTGATAAAGAAGAAACACGTCGATTTTTATTTGCAAGTGCACTTTATTTTCTTGATCGATTACATTTTGATGGAATTCGTTTTGATGCAGTTAGTCAAATGATTCGACGAAATCAAACGAATATTTCAAATGCAATTTCATTTTTACATGAACTTGATCATACTATTCATACATATTAACCAGGTGTTATGTGCATTGCAGAAGATTCAGAACGTTATCCTAATATTAGTAGAGCGATGAATTTTGATTTGAAATGGAATTTTGGTTGGAGTAATAATGCACGAAATTTTCTTCGAACATCGTATGATGAACGACCAGCACATTGGAAAGAAAATTTTTTAGATACTTTAAATTATGCTCGATGGAGTGAAGATAAAATGATTTGTACAGTGAGTCATGATGATACAGAAACAGGTCCGTTAAATAGTAGAAATGTTCTGCTGAATTGTGCTTCACATGCTCCAAATGAAATGGATAAATTTGCAGATTTAAGAAATTTTTTTGCATGGCAAATATGTTCACCAAATCGTGGTTATTTGATTCATATGGACGATGAAATTGTTGAACCAATGTCATGGTTTCAACGATGTTTTTGCGGTAAATCAAGTATGAATTGGTCATTATCGAATTCTTCAACACTACATGGTCAAATTCAAAAATGTATTCGTGATCTTATCATCTTTATATTCATTATCCACAATTTTGGGAATATGGTGAAGAAGGTTATTCATTAATTTATGAATATGCACAGTATTTAATTATTGCATATCATCGAGGTATTTCTAATAATCATCGAATTGCTGTTATTCATAATTTTTCAAATCATGCTTATATATCTTATGATATTCCATTACCAAAATCAGATCCTAATATAAAACGTATTCAATATGTGAAAGAAATATTCAATACAAATCAATTAAAATATGGTGAATCCGGAACTTTTCATAATGAACAAATTGAGATTAATCGTAATAATATGATACTTACAGTTGCCCTTCCTCCTCTTTCAACAATTATATTAGATGAAACTTTGATTTGATTAATGAATAAAATACAACTAGAGTTTGAGAGAATATGGGTGTGGAGATAATAGATAAAAGTAACATACTCACCCACATATAAGATATAGATATTGCGCATTTCATTCGCTCACTCACTCACACCCACAATGTTTATTAATTTATAATTTTTTATATAAGAAAAGAATATATAATAACATTGAATATTACAGAGTTAGAAGTGAACACTGGTAAATTGCGCGAGACTAGTTGGAGCAACAAGTATGCTTTTCAACCAACAATGAGATTGCTGAAAAGAACTCGTATTATTTGGCCAACCCCATACAAATCCACGACATCCAGACGTCGACAAGCACCAAATACAACATTCTGTGTAAGTTTTTGGTTGTTCATTAGCCATATCATTACCAGGCATATCTTTTTGTTGTAAGACAGTCATATTTGAACATATCCATGGATTGTCTAAAAAATAGAACAGATTAATGATTAACATTATTTAAACCACATCCGTAAGTAGATTTTATATGTTCTTTTAGTCAAGGAATTGATTTAAACTGTTAAATAGTGAGTTTGAATTAACCTACCTATGATTGAAGTAGTAGCTGTTGCTAAAATAGAACGAAAAACATTTTCTTTAATTTATAAATGAACTATTGACATATACTTATTTGTGTTGTTTGACTTGATTCGTCTGTTGACGTTTCTTGTTCGGGAGGTAAACTAAGAAAATGAAAGCTTGAAGTTGAAGATCTATTGAGAATATTTAGAAATGTGTAATTATAAAAAAACAAACAAGATTGATTAGGAAAACAATTAAGACCTTGAATGTTTTGTGATAAGATCATCATACAAATACAATTAGTACATGAATTATTCATTAGAAGAATTGTATTTGAAGATGATAACAATGATACATTAAAAATAGATCCAACTATGACACCATTGATACAGACAATTGCAATAAGAAATTGGCTAACAATAAGATTAAAAAACATTTGAAAAAAAATTTTTTTATAAGAACTATTTATCGATAAAATGGACGATTAATGAAATGAAATAATATATGCACGGTTCCCGTCTTATTATTTCAGTTCGGATACGATTGTTTATATATACTTTACTTGACGGAAACAGAATTAGAAATTCTCTTGTTTTTCTTTCTTTTAAGTAAAGAATATATATAATTTGTACTTTTATTTTTATCTTTACAAAGTAAAATGTGTAAACCTTTGGAAACATGCACAACTCAATTAGTTTATAAAGATCATACACATTATTTTATATATTTTTCACTTTTATCATGCATGATTTTTAAAAATGATACCATACTAGTTAAGTCTAATTGAATTTAATTTTCTCAACTTTATTTTTAGAAATTTTTAATTTTCGAATATATTCAGTAGACTGAACCATCATTTATGCTATTTTATTAAGTGATCATTGTTTATGTAAAATTCCATGTAATCACGGGACGTAAAATCGATGCGTTGAAAAGCGTCCAGACTAGTGGCGTATCCAGGATTTGACTGGTGGCCTGGCAATGCCGCCAGGCCATGCCAGGCCTTAGATACGCCACTAATTACTATAAAAAATAATATTAACTTCAATCATTCGAAATTTGATATTATATTATTTTTCTAGAGCTTTTCATAACGAATCTTTTAAGAGAAAAAATCAAATTTTTATTATTATGTAATTTTCTTTTATTGAAAAACTTATTTCAGAATTTCAATCTCATCAACTAACTGAAGGAAACTATTTTTTTTCTTCGTTGATATATTTTTTATTCTTCAATATTGTTTCATTATGGAACGCTAAAATTCCATTGGATCAAGGTGTGGGTGTGAATGAGTGTATTCTATTTCATCCAAACCCTCAAATGAATTCTTAATTGCTTCTCCTACTCAGTACTCTGATACGAGCGAAATGAAAGATTTCGCTTCGAGTGCTGTTTTGAGTCATGGCAAACAGACCCTTCTATCTCATCAGTGAAAGATTTTATATTTTTCAAGAATATATGAAGATACGTAATTAATAATATGTTAAAAACTTAAATCTTAAGAACAACAATAAGTCCGGCAAGAAATATTAGCTGAATATTGACTAGTGACAACATCCGGCACGAAAGGGATACAGTCGGGCCTGTTTGAGTGTAATAGAAATCCACTCTTGGTAAGTTGCAAGTTATGTTGTCATCTGAGATGGATACTGAGGAAACGTCTACTGTTTCATAGAGTACTTTCGATACCCAATTAGCTTCTGTAGTGAGATTATAGATTGAATGACGCGTGATTGACCTGCAGAGGGTAGGATCGGATCGAAGTCCTTTTATGAGCACGTTCATGTACGTGACCTGAGGGACATACGATGGATTCGTCAGCGATGTAATTTCCGTCAATAAATAGAACCGCCCTTGCGCTTGTTTTCCCAAATCCATTGTAAACCATACAGTCTTATTATTGCTAAGATTTAGAACAGTCTGATTCCAAGTCCCACTTGTTGCCAGTTTCACCATCTCGATCCTTAATGTATCACCTTCATTCACAGTCATCACATCTCCTCCAAAGCAGCCCATGAAGCCCGTCTTATTCCCATCAGTATTTACATACTGAGCCGATATCCACCATTGGTAAGGATCAATACCATTTTGATTTGGTGCACATGATGATCCATATGTCAATACGGGTTGGAGAACTCCATTTCCGATCGGCTCGAAATCGTGTCCCCATGGTTGAAGACCAGGCCAGATAAAGAGGGTTGTTTCATTGTTTATTTGAGGAGTTGTAGATGGGACTATGAGATCAACCGAGACGTAGATGAATTCGTTAATATCGGGGTCAGTGTCTATTTCGAAATCTGCTAATGATGTGTTGATCGCACAACTGGCTAATAGGAGAAAGAGAATTTTCAATATCATTGTATTCTCATTAGATTATATGAGATACATAATTCGAGTTTGAATATAAACAGCACTTTGAATGTTTGAAATCGAATCGTTGTAATTTAGATCAGAAGAAAGAAAAACGAAAACGTTTTGTGCCAATATCAACCAGCGAATGGTGATTAGGCACTCATGTTTATGTAGGAGAAAGAAAAAAAATTGTGTCAGTTGTAACGATATGTTACCTACCCTTAGAGGAGGCAACCTCAATATTTTTTTCAGTACTTCTTACTTCTGTTTACCTATCCACTTATTTTGCACTTGCAAATCGCTTGATTAGTTCAATCCTTTACCTTGCATGCATGATATGATCAAATTCTTCGTTCTCTTTCGAACTTGCTCTTAAGCTCTGCATTTTGATAAGTGTGTGATTCATTCTTCAGAGTATAACAGGAACAACGAAAATACAGTAGTGGGTTTTTTTAATATTCGAAATAAATATACATATATATTCAAAATTTTAAAGTGGTACTTATAAGATCAGAAATCGTTACATCAATTCGGACCAGTGAATTGCGACTCGGCACCTATGTAGATGTGAGAGAAAGAAAAAAAGAAGGATGTGCTGGTATTCTATTTCACTCACAGTCATACTCTTTCTAGTGCTTTTCGTGACGAATTCTTTAAGAGAAAAGATCAAATTTCTATTATGTATGTATGCTGAAATATATAGAAACATTTTAGGATATACGATTATATAGAATCCTTTTGTTTTTATGAAAAACTAATTTATTCAGAAAATTAAGATATTCCAATTGAAAAAAGGTGAATCAATTTCGTTTAAAATTCTTCTTTATTAAAATATGTTATACTACACAAGACGTTACTAAGTACACGATAACAAGTAAAAAAACAAATGGTAGATCAACAGATAGATTAATGGTGTCTCATACGATTTTGTGCAATAGTAAGAGAATTGTCGATGGGAACAACTTGATTAGGTGTCAAATGGCATAGACTTTTTAGATGTATTTTGATTGTTTGTCGAAGACGTGGTGAAAAGAGAAAATAAATATAAAATGATGAAACAAAATTTATAGACATAATAGATATTGTCAATTGATCGACCAGAAGTTCAATCGAAATTTGATTAAAACTTTTTGTTGCATTCTGTTCAAGTGTAATTGCAGAATAAGTATAAAAGATAGCTCGAGGAAGTGTACAGAATATACTTAAAATAGTTTGAGCAACCATCATTCTCGTCATTTGTTGTTCCCACATTGATGAACGAGTTCTAACAGGTTGCTGTTGATCATGTATATGAGCGATAAGACGAATATTTCGATGTGTAAGAACAATAAATATAATTAAGACGAGCAAAGGAAAAACAGTAGAGAAAATAGGAGCAAGAAAGTAAAAGACAATTTTTGTAAAAACATCATTCGTTGAAAAACAAACGTATGTTGGTGGGATTAAATCACAAAAAATAAGATAAGGAATATTCACCAATGACCAAAAAAGAAATGTGAATAAAACAAGATAACGTGCAATATGATTTGAATTTAATCGACGTACTCTAGCTGATCTAGATGTACATGCCCAACGATCGAATGCAGTCAAGCAAAGAAAACTCATGGCACCAGACACTGTTACTTGAGCTAAGAAGAGCCCCAATTTGCATACTGTTGAAGAGACAGACGTAGATACTGATGATATGACTGGAAGAAGAACAAGTAATAAAACACTTACATCGAGTAATGATTGACCGACAACATAATAAGCACTGGGCGATTTTCGAAATGTTTTGAATCCGATAAAAATAATTATATTAAATAAGGCTGCTGGAACTCCAATACAAAAGAACACAATTGGTCCCCAAAAAGATAATTGAGTAGTTGCTTCTAGAATGAACATCTTTCACTTTCTGTTTTCTCTTTGAAAATGAGTCGTATTCACAATTCCTTTGTCAGTTCTCCGGCAGTAAAAAAAATCGAGAAAAATACAATAAATTGTTCAACGTAGCTTTTTTCTTTTCATCTTCATATGTCTTCTCCGGAACCTGTCCGTCGCTTACAAGTCACATCCATACATTCATTTCATAATCTGTTTTCTTTGATATTTTTTCACCTTTTCTGTCACCGGAAGAGTATTCCGTTGCAAATTAATACTATAGAAACAACTGAATACTATAATAAGTATTTACACAATAGCTCATCTTCCAGTTGATAACACTCTATAGTCTAAATGATGTAATTCATCGAAGATGTCAACGAGTATAGATGTAAAGATTTGCTTGATATAAAGAAGTATCGTACGAATAATGTTAACTCATAAAATAAAGTAAAAAAAAGAAATATTTTTTATTATGTTCGTCGAAACTTTTGATAACAGTCTCAAATATCTCTTTATTTCTTTACATGATCTTTTATTTGTTGAAATATATAATACGCATATATTTATACTTTCTGTATCAGAATAGATTACTTCCGTTAATGAAAAAGACAGAAACAAAAGACGAGTACGATGAGACAATGTGATTTATTAGTGATAAACAGCTTCATAGGAAGAGAGAAGTTCTGTGTAGCAAAGGTATCTTTTCATTTCATTGACTCTTCTTAATTAATCCGTTTCTTCAACAGAAAGACTTGTTGAGTGTGGGCGTAAGTGTGAACATTGATCTTTGAGTGATTCATACTTGTATTCTCATACCCACACCCACACCCTTAAGATATCGATAAATCTTATGATTAGCAAGAATCTAATTTCACTAGCATTAGAAATTATTTGAAAGTATACCCAGATTTTATTCTAATATCCAATTTGTTTGACGTGTTATGGAATATTTCTTATTACATTTATAAGGAATTATCCCATATATATTCTTTTTTTCTTTTCTATGTATGTGATCTTTCTTTCGTTCTGTTGCGTGTTCTCGATATGTTTCTTTTGATATTTTCCTAGTTAAGATTTCTTATATGTATATATAACTCAGGTATTTTTCCATAATATGATATGGAAAATATCCAGCTAGTCTATATATATAGAGAGATTATGTTTTACGTTAGGGTGTGTGTGAATTAGTTAGTTGTTAAACTTGTTACTTATTAAATAAACTATTTAACAAAAGAAGAGATCTAACACTACACTATTTATAAATACAGGACTATTTGATTTAAAGAATATACCAAAGAAAGTTTTGGTTAAAATTTATCTTCCTGAACAATAGTCTCTGACGATTCATCTTCAATCTTCCAGCTAGCATTAAATAACTTATGACTAACCTATATAGAATAAATTTATATCCCACTACTAGTAATGCTAGAACGCAAGCGGCATTCAAGAACAAAATTTCGCTAAATTTTTAAAAGAAATCAAATATGATTAGTTCATGCGGTTTCCACAGTATTCAAAAACTTTTTCAAAAAAAACTTTGAACAAATTGTCAGAAAGGATCGAATTTGGTATAAATAATTATGACAACTATCCTCAACATTTAATAAAATAAATTTAAAAATATCTCCTTATCTTTATATTTTTTTTTAAAAGTGTCACGATTTTTTTGTCAGACCTAAGTATGTGTTCAATTGGATCAGACAGTTTATTTTTATATAGAAAACTATAGATCAGTACATATTATTAGATATGAATTTCCAAGTATTATCTAACAAAAAATAGTAAATTTTCGCTAAGCCAAGCAACTGTTGCACAATATGAATTATCATAAAATTCTCCAGATATTTCACTTTTTGTTTTCCTTTCACCTATTCATTAAGAATTCAGTTTTATTATTGTGATCAATATTTGTTATTAAGATGAACTAAATCATCATTTCAAATATGAAAATCATCTTCAAAAAGAACAAAATAAATAGCATAACTTATATTTAATAATCTTTTTCTCAGAATCAAAATTATTTCAATTCCAGAAAATAAAAATCTTAGTACTAGTAATTTGATATCAAGAAAAACTTGTCTATAAATGAATAATTCTGTTCTTCGAAATAACGTTTGAGTAATATATACTCTACGTGAAACTTTCTATCTATTCAATGTCAGATTAGTCTTTTCAAATCTCTTTGTATTTCATTAAAAACTTGATGAGAAAATTTTTCAATTATCCCATATTTAAATTCAACTGACTTCATTATCTTTACGACAAATAATGGTTTATTTATTTGAATTACTATTTTGAGTACAGAATGAATCACAAAATATACAAAAAATATAAAAGAAAACAAGACTTCGAAAAATGACGAAAGTTCAAATAATGTAATGGTAAGAGAATTTTTATGAGTATGATCTAAATCTCTATAGGATAAATCATTTTTTTCAAAATATTTAATAATCATACTAATGATTATTGTTTATGATCATTACTACGGTTATTTTTATTAATACAGTTATTATTAATACGTTTCAATTGTTTTCTGTGTAATGCTTTTGAATATAATCTATTTAAACAAAAATAAAAATATTAAAATTCCTTTTTTGAAAAATATCTTTACTTTTTATTTTTGATACTGCGCATACATTCATTTATTTTATTTGTTAATTCTTCATTTTTTGTATTTTTATCTGTTATTAATTTTTGTAATTTATTGTTAATTTCTTTGATTTGCTTGTCAAAATAATTGTTGTATTTCTCACGTTCACTTTTTAATTCATATATATAATTCACCAATTTATGATCATTGCAAATAGAATCATTATCTAAATCAAATAGTATTATTTTAGTATTTATTCCTGTTTTATAAAAATAATTACCAGATAAAGTAAGATTAAGTGGTACTTTATCGTCTATGTAGACACCATTATTATTTAAGAGATTATTCTCATCTTGAATTTGATTAGTATCTACCAAAAGATCACTATTTGATACGATATTATCATTTTGAAATTGGTAATTCGGTGATAAACGATTTATTTGTGTTGTTGCTAGATTATGTAAATCATTATTATCAATCATTGAATGAAAATGATGATTGATAAAGACATCATTTGTTGTTATTTTTAATTGAACATTTGATTTATTATCATTTGTTGATAATGGAGAACTATTTTTATTGATGTTTAACCTAAACAAAAAAACTTATTTATTATTTTCTCGCTAACAATTCAATTTTAAAATAAATATTAATATTTCTAAATAAATAATTTTTTTATAAAAAGCAATATTTCTCATTTTGTTAATATCATTTTTTGAATTTCATGCAACAACTATTTTCTTTTTTAATTTAAATTGATTAAACTTACAAATTAATATTATCAATTATTTCATTCGAATCTGTTTGATCAATTAATGATATATGTCGTATAGGTGAAGCTAAAAATAAATATATATAAATACAATAAACCATTTTCTCCTTAACTCAACATAAATATTATATAGAAATTCAATCCGAATTTTTTTCAGACTTCTTATGAATTAATCTTCTACTCAAAAGAGACAAACATTCAACGATTCATTGTTAGCAATAGAAAAGCATGTTAGCTCAAAGTATCTGATAAAGTTTATTTAACTAATATGCTTACGAATATTTAAAATTTTAATATCATCAATACCATTTGTATTTTCTTTTGGTTTCTGTGTAAAACGACGGGCTGATGGTACTATAATATCTAAATTTTATATTATTATTATTAGCATTATTATACGAAAACATTTTCTGTTTTTTAATAGCTTACCACCATTTTTAAACAAATTATCTAAGTATTATGTTGCCAAGTTTTTCCCATTCCTTCTCTTTCTTCTAGTTGATTACAATGAATTTTTCCGATTAGACTTAAATTTTTATAGATAAAGAGCCCTGATCAAAAATCCTTTTTTGTTAAAAAGTTGAGTCTAATAAACCGAACGTATTAGTCATTTCTAATTTTTACGAGGATGTGGGTGCAAGTTTGAATAGTATATGATGTTCTAACTAAAATCTGCACTCTTCAAATGAAGTTAATCAGATACATTCGTAACCTCAAGTTCTATAACAATATTTTTGTCTTTATTCTTTCTGGAATAAAAAGTCATTATTATCGATAGACTTTTAGTCTCCTACGTAAGTTTGATAAATAATAATCGAATAGTTTCTAAGTAAAACACAATTAATAATGGTTTAGACTTCTTTGAAATAAATTTTGACGAAACATTTTTTAATTCTTTTTTTACGGAATTTTTGACATTGGATGAATTGCCATCGATAACAAAAGTAGAATATTCAGGTCCAATTTTTTTTCGAATAATTCGTTCCATATTGATAACAAGGATGTCTTTTTCTATTAAGTATAACTTATTTATGATCAATATGATGAAATAAGACATCTGCATGTGTATATATATGTTGATGTTTTTTGTTAATGAATTCATTGTTCGTCGTTTTGCTTTGTTATCAGAATAATTGAATCTTATGATATTAAATGAATAGAAAAATAAAAGAATAAATACAGAAATGTTATATGATAGATTAAAATAAATTTTTCGAAAAATTGTGTTTTTATTTTTGAAATCGAAAACTTATTTTTTTATATTGTAGATGGCGGTATATTACAATTATCTTTTCAAATATTTTATAAACATATGAAAGCATAAAAAACAAGAGATTATGTTTAATTAAATCATGATGTAAAATAGAATATAAGTGTCAGTTTCCAGGTATGAAGGAAGAAATCCATCAGTTTAAATCTATCTTATTCATGTTAAGATTTTTTAAATAAAAAATCTGTGAATATTTGACAATAAAGTATTAACTAAAAAAATGAATCCGAGATTGTTTGTTTATTGCATTATATAGTTAGCTTGATCAAAACATAATCTTAATATAAAATCTACAAGTAATTGATAGGTGTCTAAGATACAAAGATTTTTTTCTATCTAACAAAGAAACATGCCTTTATGGAGAGATTTGATAAATTGAACGAGATAATCTAGAAAAAGGATCTTGCATCAAAATTTTGAAACAAGTTTTATTTCGTGATTAAGAAAAAAGCTTTAATTTTACAGTTATATCAGCAATTTGTCCAGTAGATAAAACATAGAATTAAGGGATACACAAAAAAGTTTGCATGAATAATGCTACTCTATTTATGTATCTGATATTATCGATTGAACACGAATGATAAATATTAACTAACTGAGTAAAATATCTTCACGCGTGCACTTTATCTTGCTTAATAGCCATATAATTTCGAAGTAATTTTGTGTAATAACACAGAGTTTTGTTTACATTTATCTTTGTTCATTGGCAAGACACGAGAAAAAATAAGCATTGTCAAAAGAACACAAATAATGTTGAATCTTATTCAGTTACTTGAACCAGTGAAAGTACCATACTTCTGAATGTGTTACGAATACCATCTGATTCATTCTATAGCATTAAAAATCAACGGTATTTCTCTGCTATTTTTTACTATCATGCGAACAACAATCATGCATTGTTCTATAGTAGAAATATTTGGATATTAGAAGAGAGAAAGAAGATTATATATAAAGCACTCTGACTAACTCATTGTGATAACGAGACAAAAACTAGAATGCGATCCAATGGATCGAAAAAAGAATATTATGCGTTGCGATTTTAAAAGATGGAAAAAAATAATGACTACAGACTTCGAATTGTTGCCAAATCTTCGCCAGATAATATTTGCAATGACATATCTTTTCTCTAATTTAAAAGAGTACTTTCATGAATATCAATAATATCTTCACCTTCATACCCGATCCATAATCAGAAAAATATAAACAAATATTCGATTAAATTTAAAACATGAGAAAAACACTTTAACTAAAGATATACATGTATATAATACCCTTATATACACATGTAGCATAAGATATTTTTAAAATCCTCATCAATTTATTTTTGATCGATTTATTAATCAAAATAGTGAATATTTAAATGATTTTTCTTCGTTTGAAACAAGTAAAAGTATGTGTCTGGGAAGGATGTGCATGTGAGTGTGGGTTGAAAGAAGATGGATATCCACACCCAAATGATATATACGACGAACTCTTTCATCTTATTTCAAATCGCATTCTATCACGTAACCATGTATAGCTAAAAATGGGAATCTTCTAAAAAGGCACACAGCAATCATGTAAAATAGTTGCACATATAACATACACATTTCATTGCTACAGTAGATGTATATAAATGCCACTTTTTCTTCGTTTTTATTCAAACAAAGTTAGCCTTTCTTCTTTCCATTATATATACTCCTGAAACTAAGTGTTACTCAACAACTTGTTTATAAACTTATTCGATATATCAAACAACAAAGTCAACAGCAACCATCAAGACTATACATTGACTCCATAACTACGAATCACTATTCCACGTCTCAGTCTCAAGGTAAGTTTCTCTTAATTTACTTTAACTATCGGAAGATAATAAAATCATTCATTTCTACTTCTTATTTTTTTGAATAATATTAATCAACTATATCCATTACCATATTCTTCCATCAATCATCTGCTTTGTAGATACTATACGTTAGTAATAACCAATGATATCAATTGAAGGTGATACTTTCTAATTTATTAATTTTGTATTTTCATATATGTAGATTCTTTTATTATTCGTGAGTCTTTAAATAAGATAGAAATGCGTCATGGTACTTCTTTTTCATATACACTCACACCTTATATTGTTTTATTTTATTTCGAAATTTTTTTACACAATAATTCTTCACGTTTTTTTCAGTCATTATGAAAAAAAACGAATGTTTATTCAAAAAGTACTCCAGTATTGGACAAATAATAACACATGATGAGAAATATATTGTTTGCGTACATATTTTGCATGTATGATTTTTTCTTCTGTTATAACCTTGAGAATGAAAATTATTCTTAGTTACCTTCATCGGTATGTATGAAATAAATTTCCTTCGCAACGTTATTCTGCGTCTACTCATATTTAATAGATGTCATTCTGTGACACTAACTCTATTCATTATTTTGCTCTTGGTCTTCTTTTTTTATATTACGTTTGAGATTGTCTCTTCCACTTCGTTAGTAGTATGTGTTTTGTTCTTCCAAGATAGAATATAGTATTAATAATATGTATTTCAGGTAATACTTCATTTATTAGACCAATATACATAGTAAGCAGTTAACATGAATTTTTTTCATATTGGAACAAGCTAAAATTCATATTTTTATGAGCATATGATATGTATACTGTGTGGCAAACAGAGTCGGCAAAGTCTCATATCTTTTAGTATTTTTCTCTATTTTTTTACTTTCATTCTCTGACATTATTCATCGATTGACATTGCTTTTTTATTGTTTCTCACTCTTAACTATTTTTAACGTCAATTTTATTTCTTTTTTTTCGTCGGTTTTTTTCATTCTCTGGATTTATTTTATTTGTATAAGAACATATTTTTACTTAGATTTGATTATAAAACAGATTCAAATTAGTTTCTAGAACGAAATAAGTAACAACAGATGGGTAGTTCGACATCTTCATTCTCGAATTTTGATGCAACAATTCAAGTCAAAGATGGAACAACATTTCGAATATCATATGCTGATTTGATTGATCATGTTTTGTTACTTCGAAAAGTTATTTCACATCCAGAAATGACACAACAAGGATCTGAATTAGATTATTTTATTAAAGATTATTGTAAACGAATGGCACAACAGGAAATGATAAGTAAAAAACAACAATTAAAACTTCCATGGCAAATTGAATGGATTTGGCACGTACATCGTCTGCATCCAGTAGCTTATTTCAATGATTGTACAAAACAACTACAAGGCGGAAATCTTGTTGATAAATTGGCATACAATTTAATAAAAAATCATCACAAAAAACATCATTCAAAAACAGCTTTTACATCAATAAAAAATGACTTGTCGTTTGTACCATCCATTGATTTAATACAAGCTGTTATTCGTCAACGTGATTTTCTAGAAAAATTTCAAAAACATGATCTATATGTACGAAAATTTAAACAACAAGATCGTTCATATTTCGAACAGTTAGTGCAAAATTATGTTTCGTTTCTAAAATTAGCACGAAAAAATGAAATGATTGTACCAACGTTTGAGATTGATATAATGTGGCATTCACATATGAGACGTCCAGCACATTATCATATAGTTTCAAAAGCTTTATGTGGGTTTATTCTCGATCATGATGACGCAATCGAAGAAAATATCCTATCAAATAATTATGAGAAAACAGCTGAACGATGGAAACAGACATATAATACAGATTATGGTCGTAATATTGATCGAAAAAATATCGAAGCATCACAATATGTCAGTTCATGTGCAATGGTTTTTGTGCCGATTTTTCTTGCGGGTAGCATTGTACATTCATCATGTGCAGCAGTTGGAGGTGGATGCGATTCTATTTGTGGTGGTGGTGGTGGCGGAGGCGGTTGTAGTGGTGGAGGAGGAGGCGGCTGTGGTGGTGGTGGTGATGGAGGAGGAGTTGGAGGTGGCTGTGGAGGTGGAGGCGGCTGTGGAGGCGGAGGCGGCTGTGGTGGTGGAGGCGGCTGCGGTGGTGGAGGTTGCTGAGCTTAAGATAACTCGAAAAGCAAAACACATAATTATAAATGTTGTTTAAAGTGCGCATTATTTTATGTATATTTTTAATGAATTTTAATTCACGAGACATTAAAATAAATAAAGTATTTACATGCATTTATAAATGTATAGTTTTTCAATTAATAGATTGCTCTCTATAAACTAATCTCAATAAATCTGTTACTAGTTTTATTATTCAGAAAATTTATGCTTATCCTTGAATATTTTTCACAAAGTCATTTGATACATTATAGAACCTTATTTTTGTAAGATTGACAAGAAACTGCTTCTGACTGTTCAATCGCTTTTGAGTTTGGACTTTGTACAAATAATAGATCCAAGTGAAGTATGAAAAAGCTCAAAATATTGAACTTCTTGGGCATTTCTATCTCGAGTTATCGATATTGCACAGGAATTTTGGCTTGTTATATTATATATATCAATTAATTGTATGATAGTGTTTGCACCAAGAATTTTGCCTGCAAATAGATTTATTCAACAATAAATTTTCAAGATATTTTACTGTTGAATGGGTATATTTGTAGGAAAAATCGTGGGTGAAAATACACCCATACAATCTACCGGTATCGAATAATCTCTGTTTGCCTTCAAACCATCTTGAGGGTGGTTGTGAGTGAGAACTCAAAAAAGTATCTACACCCACACCCACCCACACCACACACACCCATACCCACACCCACACCACACACACTCATACCCACACCCACACCCACACCCACACCCACACCCACACCCACA